CCCGTGAGCCATGGCCGCTGAGCCTGTGCGTCTGGAGCCTGTGCTCCGCAAGGGGAGAGGCCATAACAATGAGAGGCCCGCGTACAGCAAAAAAAAAAAAAAAAAAAAAATATATATATATATAACACAACTATTACTACCACCAGGCAGTGTGCTTCTTTGCTCATGCACCTCTTCTTTCTCTTCCTCCAGACTTTATAGTTTTCTTTTTCTCTTTCCCTGCTCTTTCTTCTTTCTCAATTCAGTTTTCCTGCCTCCCTTTTTCTTTCTCACCCATAAATAGGAAAAAAAAAAAAGCAACTGTTGAGTTTCCTGACTGGTCACATTCCAGAGAAAGGAGGAAATACAGGCTGTTATACAACTGGGAGGGGTCAGGTGTGACCTAAAGTTGAGGGATGAGGAGAAGAGAATTATAAAGGTAAGAGAAGGCGAAAAGGTTAAGTAAAGGTTTGATTTTAGACTTTTATTACGTAAAGTGATTCTTTTGTGAATCCCATCTAGGGCATTTCATCCTTCTCAGGCTATGATGGTTCCCAGTAGATCCAAAATTGCCAAAGAAGGTCAGTAATGATGTATTCAAAGATGATCACTCTCATCAGCTTTTGTACAAAAGAATCAGTACCTGATATTGTGTTAGAGTGAGAGCCATAGGAAACGCCTTAGGGATTGTCTCTGATGAAGTCTTTTTTTTCCAATCACCAGTATGTGAAAAGCTATTACATCTATTTTTAATCTTTCTTCTATTCAGTTTCCAATGTTTCTCTCAGGCTTCTGTAACTTGGCAGATAGTTCAGGTATTCTTTAAAAACAATGACAAACAATGAAATTCCCAACAACCACAGCAACCGCCAAAAACAGTGAAATCTACTTAGCTTTTTAGTTGGCGGGAGATGTTGAAAAATATAAGAAATAAAAGCCACCCACAAATAATTTGCCTCACAAAAACAATTGCTCTTAGTATTATATTGTATTTCTGCCATTTTCTATGCAATTCTATGTCAGAGTTATACTTTATATATACTGCAGTATAGAACTTATATAAGTTATATTAACTTAAATATAACTATGACATAGAGTTACATAGTTTGTATCTTTCAGGCATATTTTAGTCTAGAATACTTTCAGCTATGGTTTTCCATCACTTTTCTGGCGGTTGAGCTATATATATTTCTTTTGCTGCTGGGAAATAGAATTTGAAAAAGTTAACTCTGCAAAATCTCATTCTAAAGGACTTTGCAGTTGACCAGGACACTTAAGTGGATTATCCGATTGCATGTCTTCACTTGATCTCCAGGTGGAATGGTTCCAAAGACCTCTAACAGCTTTATCACTCTATAGTATAACTGCCCCTTAATTCTCCTCTAAGCTTTAAACCCTGAGAGCAAGACTGTATTATTCACCGTTTGTACCCCAGTGACTAGCATGTGACCCAATACATAGAAAATTCGCAATATATTCTTGATGATTGAGTGAATGAAAAAGTGAGTAAATGAATACTAAAATTCTAGACGATCCATAACTCATCAAGCTTTCTCCTTAGTATCAGGATACAACCAGATTAAGGTTCCCAGAAGTAAAGGATTGATTTAGATTTAGATTTGTCTTGAAAGAGCAGAGAAAGATAGGAATTGATCATCACTTGAACATTCCTTATAGACCCTAAACTCTTTACCTAAAATTCCTATTGTGCTTTAATGCTACAATTTAGCTGTCCCACAAATACTTATAGAAAAGTAATTTTCAACTTTGCTTTCTACAAACTAATTACCTTCTGTAACATCCAGGCCACTGCCACCTACATTTTGGAAGTGTTGGCATCCCAATAGTTGGCATGCCTTATAGGTTTACCATAGGGCCATTATTAAAGAACTAAAACCATGCACATCCTCTTGGACAAAGGATTGGATCACCTTGGAGACCATAAAGGAAAGCTTGCAGACAGTGGTTGAGAGAGCAAGACAATGAGAGAGAGTGAGCCAGAGAGCCTGCCAGAAATGTCAGTTTGAAAGAGGGCAGGGAACGCACAAGCAGGTGGTTTCACTCCTCATGAACCTCCTTATCTTCTTCAGTTTTGACAGACCTTGGATCTCATCTCATCCAAGTATAAAACTCCTAGTGAACTGAGACATTCTCTGTAAGTAGATGAAAGCTGTTTTCTCTCTTGGCAGTTTATACTTGGTCACATGATACAACTAGTCATACAGTTTTAAGGCAGCATGCTGTGTACCTCTCTCTCCAAATGCAATTTTACAACATTCTGTGTTTTATTTAAAAAAACCAGTTTAATCTACATTAATTAGAGTGTGAAGCTGAGTGTGTGAAGCTCTAATTTACCTTACATGCATAACAAGAGCAGCACCACCTGTTGACTGCCTACTAAGTGCCTGGCACAGCCTAGGTATGTTATACACATTATCTAATTGAACTTGGAGAACATGCCTGCCTCCAGAAATATAACTTAAATATCTCATTTACTTTGAAATTGCAAATGGCCCTTTCTTTAAGAAACTTGCATTAAATTTATTTAGCACTATCTCATTACAGGAGAAAAAAATAACAATAATAAGGCCAGAATTTATAAACACTTTTCTGGTGAGAAACACAAAGATCACATGAGCTTTCCATTCTACACTCTAATCCAATTTTCTTTCCTTTTTTTTTTTTTTTTTTTTGCAGTACGTGTGCCTCTCTCTCTTTTGGCCTCTCCCGTTGCGGAGCACAGTCTCCGGACGCGCAGGCTCAGCGGCCATGGCTCACGGGCCCAGCCGCTCCGTGGCATGTGGGATCTTCCCGGACTGAGGCATGAACCCGTGTCCCCTGCATCGGCAGGCGGACTCTCAACCACTGCACCACCAGGGAAGAACCCTCTGAATTTTTAAATCTAATTTTTCTATCCTATTTTCCAACCTAGCTGATAAACTGTCTTCTCTCTTGCCATCTTCCCCAGCAGTGTTTTTTCTTTTGCCACATAATAAGAGAGTTAACTGCTTCCCCTATTCCCAAATTAGAAAACATAAAGGTTAAATAAAAGTGACTTGGACACTGAAGACTTTTTTCCTACATTGAAGTATGAGACTTTGTGGTGAGATAATTGATGAGTTACCCATAATCTTATGTGTGCTCTTTACTCATTGCCCAAGTAAATTTCATCTAATTAAAACTTTCATCATGTTAAATATAATAGATTCCTCGGATGGGTTGAAGGCCCAGAGTTCTTTTCTTATTGCTTAGTAATGACCTCTATATTCCATAGGAAGGTCTTCAGAAATTTTAAGCATTTATATGAAAGTCGTGGTCCAAATTTCTACTTTTTTTCCCAAGATTAATTGATTCAACAAACATCTATTGAGCACCCTTGTATCAGCAACCCTGGTAGTGGAGTGATAATACAGTAGTGAGCAAAACAGGTACAGTGTTTGCACTACAGAGCTTACAGCCAACTGGAGGGAACAGACACTGAATAATTACAAATATGACAAATGCCATGAAGAAGATGGGCAGGGTGCTATGGGAATATGTAATAGGTGTAGCTAACCTAGCTTGATGGGAGGTGGGGCAGAGAAGATTCTTCCAGAGAAGTTCAAGTTTAGGCTTGAAGCATAAGAAGGAAGAAGAGTTATCTAGATAAGGGAACAGCTTGTGTAAAGGCTCTGAGTAGAAAAGAAGACCACCCATTCAAGGGCCTGAGAGAAGGTCACTGTGGCTAGAGTGCTGACTTCAGGAAACGTTAGAGAAGAGGCAGGCAAGGACCAGATCACATAGGTCACCCTAAGGATTGGGGACTTTATTCTGAGGGCAGTGGAAAGCCAAAGGAAAATTCAAGCCAGGAATTAAAAAAATTTTTAAGCTTAAAATAGCTAAAATGTAGACTATAAGAATATATTAATTCACTAATTTGCTCTGGAATATGCTCTCATATCTAGTAGTCCAATGATAGTAAGAATTTTTATAAATGCAGGACAAACTATCTAGGTTTATAATATGCAGAATTTTTCTGTGAATAGAAAAGACCCTAGGATAGTTAAGCAAAGCAGAACAGGACTTGGGTACATATAAGTACCCAAGAAAGCTTTGAAACGTATGTCCTGAGTTTCTTTGCTTTTCATCTATATCACATTTTAACTTGAATTGAAAATTGAAGTGGTAAAATAATAAAGGCAGGGAAAGGAGGAAGGCATGCATGTGTGTATGAGCGTGTGTGCCCACGTGTGGTTTCTTATGGTTTTGAAGAAGAGCAGATTTATGGCAATATCAGTATCACATTCTCTGTGCTCAAAAATAGTTGTCTCCCCTGCAGAAATTAGGAAAGGAGAGACTATATAAATAGGGAAAGATTTTTTTTTTTTTTTAGTGGTGTGTTCTAAGGAAAAAAAATGGCAGCTTCTGGGTAATACAACAGATTTTGACATGAAATACATTGATTTTAGACTACGGACCCCAAGATGGTTTCAGTAGTACTGTGCTTGGAGTAGTAAAGAGATCCATGAACACCAAGGCCTTTGGACAATATAAAGTGTAAGAGGCTAAGGTTTTAATTTTCTTTTTTAATACTCTTTGGTCTTCCCTATGGGCATTTCTTTTTGTCTTCTTCAGATGGCCTGCATTCATTAAATTAGTAGATAGGATTTTAAGGTATGGTTCTTTCCCAGAGGTATTTTCTTACTGGGAGTTGAGAGAAATTCTTGAAGATTAATAAGATTTCTGTTAGTAAATATTAGGAGAGTGGAGGAGAGCTAGCTAGCTCTGACTACCATTCTCTGTCACCTCACTGTCTCCCAAACCAGAAGTTTCTTCTCTTAAATCTTGGACTGCAATGCTTCCTGACCGTTCTGGAGGAGGCTCAGTGACGCCTTTTTAGAAATGAATGAATAAATTCACACTTGGTGAACTGTTTGAGAAAGGCTGCTGACCCTTAGTCTGAGAAATCTTGAGCAACAGGAGACCTGAGTTTAATGTCAATTTGTATCTGTCTCACTATTTGAAGAGAATGAATTACTTACTTGATTCAATCACTTAGCTCCACACCTGAAGTGTAGTAATGAGGAGAACATGGGCCAGCTTCATATACATTGTGTCCTTCAGTACTGCAATTGACAAAGCATTCTCATCAAAATAGAAACACATTAAGTACCTACTGTACACATGATTGGGAAACTATCAGAATATGTAGGTTAAATATTAAAATAAATTAGTGCTTGTTAAGGTTTCATGGAACAGGTGAGATGTGTATTATAAAAAGGGAGCAGGTTTACTATGTATTAATTATTAGGCTACCAAAGCTCTGGGTAAATTTGATAGCAATGTTAAGAGTAGCTTCTCGGCAAGTACTTGGTGCCAGGTTGAAAAGTGGCCACTCTGTTTACTTGGGCAGAAATGTGGTTATATTAGGCTGCTTTTAGTGATAAATGGTTTTTAAAAAGTTTCAACCTTCTGGAATCTGACTCACAATGTCCTGATATTGTGTTCTTTTCTGTATTCAGTGTCATGGATAAAGAATCTATCTTTCAGCACTGAATAAGAATAAATTTGTGTATGCGGTCAGATTTATGAGTATTACAAAGACTAGATAAACTATTATTTAAAAAAATAATTTTATGCTGCAGTAGTTCTAAATTATTAGTTTTAGCTTGATATAAGGGCAGAGGGCAAAAAATAAATTGACGTTCATCAAGTACCAGTGTTGTATGTCAGGCACTCATATAGTCAGTCACCTATATTATCATTAAAGTTCACAGGAAGCCTGTAATAGGTAATGTTTCCATTTTGGTCAAGGAAGAAACTGAACTTCAGAGACTGAGATGGCAGAATTGGGATGCACACTCAGGTCTCCTAGCTTATGGTCTTTCAATAAAATCACTTTGGCATAAACTGAAAAATTTAAGATTATGTAGGATTAAACAAAATGAAACAGCTTCTCATCTATAATTTCTTTTGGTTTAGATGTAATCTTTATCTGCAGGGGGGAAAAGGTGAATAATATTGCAGAAAGGTGCTTGTATTCTACAAATCTGTTGATGGGTTCTAGTAGAAAGAGATGAGATTAGAAAATGTACATTAAGCAATATGTAAATTGGGGGTCATAATTCTTCTGAATCCTATTGATTTTTTAACGGTATTTTCAAGATGGGCATCAATGTTTTACAATCTGTAAAATTAAATGTTACTATTCTATCTAGTTTGTAGGGACACTAAAGCTATTGAAGAACCTTGAAACATTATTAGGAAAGCTGCTATAAAATATAAAGATGGCTTATATGTCTGACCTTCATCTGTGCACTTAAAGCACTTTGTTCTTACCTTAATTTTTGCACCCATAATATTGCATCCAAATCATGTCTCTATTCTCTGGTATCTCTACCAGAAGGTGGGTTCCTCCAAGACAGGGACCATGTCTCTTCCATGGTAGTATCCATAGTAACCTGGACTGTGTCTGAAACACAATAAATGCTCAGTAATGTTTATCAAACAAACAACACAACAAAAGGATTCATTTTTTCCAACCCCAGTTTCCTTATCTCCAAAATGAGAAGATACTAATAGTTTTCTAGATCGTCAGGCGGGACATGATATATGCTCATATACTGTTGACTGGAGATACAAGGCACAGACATATAAAGTGTTATTAGGATGATTACTAAGGGGGTGGTTATTTCACACAACATAAACTTTTATTCTGTTTAAGATCTTTTAAAAAAAATCTAACCAATAAATTTCAGGAAGAAAATCTAAGGTATTTTAGGTAATATGTAGTCATAATCTCCATCCTTGGGCTCTCAGGGTTGAAGAAAAGCCGGATCCTAAACCAGAGATGAGAACAATCTTTCACTAGGTGGCTCTCTTTCCCATGAGTGGGCGGCCCCTCGGTGGGTGGAGGGACGACACGGGGCAATGTACAGCTGCAATCACCGCGTGTCACACTGCATCACAGTAGGCGCATGCAGCACGAGGGGCATAGTTCAGTTTCTATGTCGTTAATGATAATCTGTCCTTGGGATTTATTTCAAAGTAGCTTGTACTTTCATTTCCTCCAAACCTACCCAGACGTTGGCGCAGTCTTTTAATAGGTGCGGTCTCAGAGAAGGATTTTGATAGCGCCTTTTCACCTAGCATGAAAGACAAAAGGAATCAGGTACCCCGACCGAGCCAAACCAAAATAGCCCATTAAAATTATGATTTTAACTGTCCAGTGAGGGCTGCATTCCTGGAGGGGTTTATACCGTTATACATCCTAAAGTACTTTGGGATAGCTGTTTAAACGCCTCCACAATACGAATGGAAAATATAATTTGTAAAATGTCAAATAATTCTTTCAAACCACTAACACGACGACTTCTCCAGCTACTTTTCACACACTCATTATTATTGAGCCCATTTACGTTATTCTGCTTTTTTAGCCTCAAACATGAGACAAAATACACATAATAAACATTCAAAAAGATTTGTTCTAAGAATGAAAATCCTTTTCCTAGAAGCCTTTCATAGGAACTTCGCTCAAGTATCTAGGTTTTTCTTGATACTATTTTACCCAATGTTTTCCTCTCCAACCCAAAAGATACATAGTGACAAGTTCTAAAATACTACAAACGCCTGAGAGAAGGAGGAAGTTTGCAAAGGAGAAAGGAACTCGGAGGTCTGTTTTTGATAAGAAAGGGGGACTCACACTGGGGGGTGCCTCTCAGAGGGATGGCGGTCGTGAGCATCTCGCCACGTCCCCTAAGTGCTGAAAAATCACTTGTTAGCCTTCCAAGATGAGTTCCCACTCTCACGCTGGCCTCCTCGCGGCAGGAGGTGGCTAGTGAAGGCCGCGTGGGGGGCTCGCAGGAGGCTAGGTCGCCGAGAGTGTGTGTGGGGTGGGGTTTGGGGGATTTCAGTAAGGGGTCGACCCGCCGGGGAAAGTCGTATGCCCCCGTCAGCAGAAAAGGGATCTCGGCAGTCGTGTGCCGTTCTCCTCCCTCAGGGACCCCGTCCTGGCGGGACCCCGCCTCCCAGTGCCGGGGGTGGTTGTGGGGAAACCCCTCGCCCGCCTCGCTGCCTAGCGCCGCCGCATCGCCTAGCCTGCTCCAGCCCGCCGCCCACCAGACTTCAGGCCCAGCATCTTCTGCGTAGGCCCAGCCCTCCCCAAGCCCGGCACGGAGAGGAAAACTATGGAGGTGGTTCCCGCCCGCAGGCGGGTGGAAAAGCCCATGGTGAATGCCTCGGGGTCTCCCCCATTGCTGCGGGAAAGGGAAAGGGAGGAGAAAATGAACTTCTCCGCCCAGGAGAACTACCCGGATTCCCAACCAGGGGGAGGCCTTTAGATGGAAGGGAAGCCAGGGGGAACCCTGGGCACTTTCCGGGGAATCCACTCGCCAAGGGAGGGTCATTCTGTCTGCACACATTGGTTACTATGACAATACAACTACAGCCTCCAGTTGCCTTTGCAGCTGCTTATCCAATCCGATTGGTTTCTTTTCTCTTCATCCCTGGGCTCCACCCTATCCCCTCCGACAGCCTCCCTGCGTGCAGGGGGTGGGGCCACAGAAAAGAGGAGGGGGTCCTTAGCTTCACTCTAGGGCGCGAGGGCAGGCCAGAGACAAGGGACTGGCGGCCGGAACTGTAGGAGGAAGGGGCGTCGTTTCCGGTAGGGAAGAGTGGAGGAGTGGAAAAAGGAAGAGAGAAATCGGGTGGAGTGCAAACACGGGGGAAGAGTTTGAGTGTAACTCCCGGTTGATTGGAGCTCGATGTTCCCGGTGAGGCTGGGGTTGCCCCCTTGCGCGGGAGAAGCTGGGTGGATTGGCCGGAAGCCGCCAATCGCCTCCAGTGGGCCGCTCAGTAGCCGCACAGGCGCCCCACGGCTAACTGATCCCAAGAGGGAGCGCTACAGAGAGGCGGAAATCACCCGGAGGGACCGGCGCCGCTGAAATCTCGCGAGAGAGACCCCACTTCCTTCCTCTGCTTCTCCCTCCTCTTTACCCCGCCCCTATCCCTTCTCCCTCCCCTCCCCCCTCCCGGGTCGGAGTGTCCCTGAGCCCCACGGGCCGGAGAAGCAGCGAGAGCAGCTATCCCCGCTCCCTCCCCCTCGCCTCACTCACCCCCAACCCCCGCTGAGCGAGGAGGAGCCGGAGGAGAGGAAGATGGCGGCGGCCGCCAGCACCCGTGGTGCCGTGGGGCCGCTCCGAGGAGCCTGAGAGACCCACAGAGGCTTCGCGGGAAGACGCGGCGGCGGAGGATGAGCCTGCAGAGCGCGCAGTATCTCCGGTGAGTGCCGAGGCCGGCCCGGTACGTAGCGGGGAGCGGGCCGAAGGTTGGGGCATGGAGCAACAGACACAGAGGTGGTATGTCCGGGGTGGCGGGGGAGTTGCTGTGTTCTCTCCTTCCCGGGCAGGGAGGCGGGGGCTGCGAGGATCAGCGGGAGGGGGCGGAGCAGGCACACACTTGGGTGCCTAGCCCCCGCGAGCAGGACTGAGTTCCAGCGGAGCCGGCTAGTCTCGGTGAGGAGAAGGAGGTTAGGGAAGCGTGAGAATGTGTGTGTGCGCGCGCCCCGGGTCGCGGGCTCTCTAGTGAGGGTTGGGGGGAGGCGGCGGCGACCCGGAGTGGAGGTGGGTGTGGAGGTGTCTGATCCCGGTGGCGGGGAAACGTGGTGTGTGGGATTGACTGGAGCGATGAATGGGGAGAAGACAAGGTGGAAGTCTGCACACCTGGGGTGTGTGTGGGGCCGGGGAGGGAGGACTAGAGGAGGGGGAGACCGCAGGAAGCTGGAGTTTGTTCTTCATTCTGGGGGTGGAAGTACTGAGGAATAATGTCATCTGTAGTTAGTTGGCGGAGTGCGGGTGGAGGGCATAAAGAAGGGAATGGGTGAGGAAGTGAGGAAAGAAGGAGGCACTACGGATGCGGTTGGGTTCCCCCGAAGAAACTGGGTTAGAATCAGTGCAGTCGGGAGATACCATTCTAAGAGTCGTGTGGATTCATTAGAGTGGTGTAAGGAACTTGTATGTCGAGGTAGAGTGACGTATGGGTGCAGAGTGAGAAAGTATGTGATGTGTATCTGGGGAGGGTTAAGGGGGCGATTGACACACATTGTAGGAGGAAGAAGATGCAGACACATTGGAACCAAGTACATGGTGGCGAGAGCGTACTGCACCAGCTGTTGTGCAGCTAGGAAGGTTCCATGGATGCAGAATAAGAGCTTGGAGGTAGAGGTAAACGAGGGTCAAAATCTTGATGACAGAGAAAAATAAGATTGTCAGAGCCTGGGATTAATTGGGGAGTTGCCACTGCTTAGAAAAGGGGAAGGAAGATCCAGAAACGGGTCCTTTTTGTCTTTCAGTAGCAGAACTAAGAAGGGCAGGCTTATGGGAAAATGATTTTAAAAGTGGTTTCATACCTTGTGGAGGAGGGAATTGGACGGGGTAGAAGTCTGAAATGAGCAGAAAAGTCACTTTAGCTGTTTAGTGAAGTGAAAGTATTGATATGTGAGTGGATCCCTGCATGTATGTTTCAAGAGAAGGTTTGTAGTTAGGTGATACATGAGGGTAGCTATTCTGCTTTTGAAAGTAGTAATCGTTTTATTAAGCAGTGTGTGGAGAGGAGGGAATGATGAGATCTTTCAAGTATGGTGGAATGCCTGAGTTTAATAACACACATCATGTATGCTCAATAACTGTACAGTGGGTAGTTGGAATGATACCTGTATATCGAAGTCCTTTTTCTCCTTTATTATCTGTTTGTTGTTTAACATATCAGATAAGCTTAATAAATACAACTGTGGCAAAGATGTATGATAGATGCTATAGAGAGGAGATATGGAAACTATCAGGACAGTCCTTAATTTTAGGGAATTTGCAGATTAGTATATATTAGGAAAGTAAAACATGGTAAGGATCATGAAAGATGCCAGTTTTATGAGTCCAAAGGCAAGAGATTACCTGAGCAATTGAGATGAATCAGGAAAAGTTTCCTTTATTTTCTCATTCATACACATGATTCATCAGTCATTTTGTTGATCACCTATATGGGAGGCATTATAATAACTTCTGAGAGTAGAACAGTGAGAACTCCATCCTCCTCTTGCAGAGTTTACAGTTTGTTAGGCTTCAAGGAGAAAATGGCACTTAAAATGGACCTTAAGGATAAACAGTATTCTGAGAAGTGTGTATTGAGAAGGAGGAATCCAAATTTAAGGAAACTGAGCAGAGATATATGGAAAGGAGGGTTGGGTGCTGGGGGAGGTATTCAGTCCAGTTAAACAAGAATGTAAGGTGATGGAAAAACTTAAGAGTTTCATATCTTATTAAGTATGACCCCCTTCTTTTTACAGATGAAGAAAGTATAGCCCAAAGAAGTTAAAATTGTTGAGGATCATATAGTTGGTTTGTGGAAGCTCTAACTCAAATGTAGGTCTTCTAACTCCAGATCAGCTATACTGTGTGACATCCATTCTTTCCACAGGTATGGCTTGAGAGCTTACTGTATTCTAGGCACTGAGGATTCAGTGGTGAACCAAAGAGTGACCATGGGAAGGTATTTTCTAATAGAAGGATACAACAAATGAACATATGAACAGATAAATATGTTTACCAGGTGGTGACAAAGTACTAGGAAGAAAAATAAAGCAAGATAGGGGTGTGCTGTTTTTTATAAACAAGCATGGTCAGGGAAAGCCTATTTGATTAGGTGCCCATATGTGAGAGTATCTTGAATATTATGGTCTGTAGTTTATGGTTAAAATGGGTGGACAGTGGAGAATCTGAGATGATTTGTTTAGAAGGGAAATCACATGTTCATGGCTATGTATTAGGAAGATGAATCTGTGTAGTGGGCAGTTAAGGGTTAGAAATAAGGTGGTAGCAGTGGGACTGGAAAGGTATAATGAAAAGCAGATTGGGAGAGTGGTGGTATTTTTTTTTTTTTTTTGAGTGGTGGTATTTTTAATGGGAAGATCAGTTGGCTTTGAGAGGCTTCTGTGTTAATGTATCTTATGTTTTTAAAGTTAGCATGGTAAGGAAGACTTACCCTTAGGTTGCGGAATCAGTAGTAGACACCTTGAGATGAATTTAGTTCATTGAAGGAGGGAGATAAGAATAAGAATGAACACAATGTTTAGCCTAAATTTTCCAGCTAAAGTTGAATAGGCAAAACTGAACAGGCATAGGACCTGGAATCACTTAAAAATTCCTGAGAGCCAGTCTTTTCTCAATCTTGTTCATCTATCCTAAGTAAATAAAGCAAGTCTTAGGGCTAATAGTAGTCTGAGGCTAATGGGAAGAGATAATAAAGTAAGGCTTGCACCAGCCAGAATTTCCCTCTTTCTCTTCTTTAGATAATCATTCCAGTAAAGTGCTGTGAATAACTAGTGGTTACCAGTGGGGATGGAGTGGGGTGCAGTATAGGGGTGGAAGAGTGGGAGGTACAAACTATTGGGTGTAAGACAGGCTCAAGGATGTATTGTACAACATGGGGAATATAGCCAATATTTTGTAATTACTGTAAATGGAAAGTAACCTTTAAAACTTGTATTAAAAATTAAAAAAGAAAGTCTGCTGTGAGAGACTAGAGACTATGTTCAGGGAAGCATTATGTTCACTTTCTTTTCTTTGATGCATATGGAACCATTGGTTTTTATAGACAACCCAGGGAGAATGCTGGGTATTGCTGAGTGAGCGTGGTTGGGGGTATAGCAGTTTTTCTTTGTGACTTTCACTTTAGGAAGAGTTTTGTTGTCTACCTTTGTCAGTGGTGTACAACCATGACTGGGCAATTTTTAGACTGCACAGCTACAGACCTTCCCTCATGTAGATGAAAATTAGTTTTGTCTCAGCTGAATTAATTTCTTAGAGTAAATGAGCTGGGGTGTCTGGTGTTGAAATGGTGGGGTGGTAAGATGGCAGTTTCAAAAGAGTGAGAAATGAGGATGTGCAGTAAGAAGCATCAGTAAGACAAAGAAAGAGGGAATTCAACAGCAAGGGGACTGAATTGGTCTTGACTTGTAGCAGTAGAGCATAGATGAAAGGAGAGGAAACCTATCCTCTGGATGGGTGATGTTCTGGGCAAGAAAGGATGATGAAATTTTTTTTGTTAGAAGGGGAGTGTCATTTTTTGAAATAGGAGACCCAATAAGACTCCTATCCAAATGATTAAGTTGAGAATACTTTCTTATATTTTATAAAAATAAGAAATGGTCTTAAATTTGGGGCTTCTAGACTGTATAACATTGGAAATTTAATACTCGGATTGAAGAAAATTTCAGTGTTTTCTCTTTTGATTTATGATAAAATGGAAAGATTTGTAAAGACTTGGACATCTTTGTTGAGTAAAAGAATAGGGTGTATTGAATATAGTTCATTTGAGAAGGGTGGAAGAAGGGTGAGAATAGGCCATAGAGAAGATAGTAGGTGAGGTATAATTTCATGCCTTAAGAGAATAGCACTTGAAAGAATAGAAATATGGAAATTAACATGTCAAAGTTGGAAAAATGGGTGGGGGAAGTATTGAAGTACCATACAGGAAAGGTATCATTGAAGTTGTTTTGGAAGATGAGATAGTGGAATAATCATAGCCATAGGGAATACCAAACAGGTCAAATCTGATGGTACAAGGTGGCACCGGTGCCACTGAATGACATCTGCTGTGACTGTGGGAGGCAACTGTTTATACTCCCCTCCCTCTTTCCTCCAGTGTTCTCTTCTTTTTATCTTTAATTTCTTTTTATGCTGAAGGTTTTCCTGTGGGATCCACTTGAAGTTGATCCCTGGCGTTAGACCACTGACAGGAAAGGCCTACAAATTGTCTGTTTTGTTAGAAATTTTTTGCATGATACCTCTGTGGGTGGAGAGGTGCATTCCAGTTGCACATTTCTTTGTCAGAAACTTTGTTACCAGAAGTAGAAGTAATATAACATCCACAAGGTTGTTTTTCTGAGACAGCAGAAAAATGGCTGTCATTTAAGTACTAATTAAAATATCCAGTATATTGTAAGATAAAATATGTCACTGTAAATCTTGAGACAGAGGGAGGTAAAGGGAGGGGATGAGACTGGATAAATTAACAAACAGAGTCTTATTCTAGCCTGGGGAGGCGAACAAGGTCATGGGATCATTTGGGAGAAATAAATATACTAAATAGGGTGGGCTCCAGGTTCTGGAAGAATCTGGTAATGCTGGACTGGATATTCACTGTTGCTAGAAGCTTCAAGAAGTCCTATAGCACACACTGATATTAATTCACATGGTTGAGAAGTCGCCCCCTGACCCATCCAGCCCCCTCCCACTCCCATGCCCAGGATTTAAAATAGCTTTGGTCCCAGAAAATCAGCCAAACATGGCCGATTTACCAAACGTGGGAAAATTGTTTGAAAAAAAAATGACCCTCTCTTGAGGCTTTATAAGTCTATTTTTTGTTATAATAATGTTAATAGCATTTTACCTGCTTGGATATTAACAGGCTAAATTATTTTAGCAGTTAATTTCTGCCTCCCTTGTGGTTTCGGTTGATTCAAAATGTATACTTCCTGTCCTAGCCTGTGTTTCGTTGCTTTCTGACAGCTGCTGTGTTTTACCTTCATGGTAGATGAAGCATTTGCTGAGTTTTTGTTTTGTTTTGTAAGATATGTTATAATAAGATATGGACCCACTAGTGTAGCAAGTTTGTCATGAGGCAATTTTGGGGTGGAGGGGAGTTCAGCCTTGAAAAGGGATAGTTTGTTTTATGGTGGAGAAATACCATTTGCAGCCTCCAACTACATCTCTAAACGTGGCTAGCCTTTCAGATTTTTGTTATTGGTGGCATGCATGAGTACCTGAAAGTTTAGGTGGGTTTGTTTAACTGATTGATCTTTTTCAGAGAATACACTATTAAGCAGATATCTTTTGGATGGTGGATTGTTCATCTGTAGGTGGGCATTTTGGCAGATGGTCATCACATATTGCCATTTAAGTTTTGTAATCAAGCTATATTTTAATTTAGTTGCTGAATTGTTGTGGATAGACTTAACAGTGATCTAGGAGGTTACATATAACTAAGAAGGGCTAATCAACAGTTACAGAAAAATACAGGGATGGCATTTTGGCAAACATGTCACATGGTAAGTGAGAACTTGTAACCAACTCCTTTCTTGTTAACATGTAAGTGGAGCTGCTTAGGCAGGTTGTTTTCACCTTCCCTGAGACCCAGTTTTTAAGTCAGTGGAAAGAGTAGGTGACTACGTTAAGAAAACTTTAGGAATCTCAGGTAGACTAAGTAACAGTGTTGTTCAGGGTTTGTGCTAGATAATTCCTTGTTGCAGGGTGCAATCCTGTGCATCGCAGGATGTTTAACAGCATCCCTGGCCTCTACCCACTAGATGCCAGTATCATTCTCCCCAATTTGTGACAACCAAAAATGTTTCCACATGTTGCCAGAAGTTCCCTGTGGGTGCAGATTCACTTAGATTCATGTTTTTTTCTTCTCCTTAAAGCCACAGATTATTTCCAAGGCTTCTCTTAGCAGTTTTCTCTTAGGTAGTAATAGGCTAGTTACTATGTTTAGACTTCACCCATAGAAACTTGTACAAGTTTTAAATATATTTTTTTAAAAGTTGTGTTTTATTTTACTGGCAGTTATTGAGCACTTACTATGTGCAGAGCACAATTATAGGGGCTTTGCCTATGGGAAACTCAAAGATACTAGAGAAAGACATTTAAGTAACTGTAATAGTGGATGAACTGGTAAGTGATATGATAGAGAAACAGGTACTGTGTAAGTTTAGGGAAAAAGAACTTTATTCCAACGGAGTTGGGGTGAGGAAGGTATCTTGGAGGAGGTGAGATTTTATCTGGGTTTTGAAATATGGATGGGAGTTTTAAAATGTGGATTATTGGGTAAATTGACATTTCAGGCATCTCATGGCTCCTTTATTCCAAATACATTTTTTAAAATTTTATTCACTCCCATTTAATATATGACATTAGAATTCTGGCCAGGCCTTTCTAAGTTTTTCTTGCATAAGATTGGTTATGGACAGAGAAATAGAGATATGTGAAGTGGTAGTTCCTGAAGACTTGATGGCTGGTATAGGTCTCGAAAAGAGAAAAACAGTTTGGCTAGTTGAGTCCTGCAGAATGCCTTTCTTTACCTCTGCTCTTCCTTATATATTATTCCTCCAGAGCCTTATTTCAGATGTGCTGTCTCTCTTCTTTTAGTCTTTTTAATTATTCCCTTTACTAGTCTTCTCTTTTGTGGACCAATATCAGCCTTCTGTTAAAAATTCTTTCCTGTTCCCGTTTTCCTTTTAAGCTCTGTCCTTCCTTACCTTTCCTTTATGGCTAACAATTTCAAGTATGCCCTGTACTGTGTTTTCCCTTTTTTTTTTTTTTTCTGCGGTACGCGGGCCTCTCCCTGTTGTGGCCTCTCCCGTTGCGGAGCACAGGCTCCGGACGCGCAGGCTCAGCGGCCATGGCTCACGGGCCCAGCCGCTCCGCGGCATGTGGGATCTTCCCGC